TCTCTCTCTCTCTCTCTCTCTCTCTCTCTCTCTCTCTATCTGTAGATGTCATTATTATTATTATTATTATTTTCTAGCTTGACTTGAATGATTGAAATCCTGTCATTTACAAGCGAAAAATAGCTTGGAAAATGAAAAACAAAAAACAATGTTGTTCTTCAATAATAATCTTGAATGATGTTCGGAAGAATTTAATTTTGAAAAACAACAACAAAAAACAAAAATTAATTTTTTGTTCTGATCATCTTTGAGTCTCCAGAAGCGAAGCGAAAAACAAAACTGGCAAAATTCATTTTGGGAAATTTTCTTCCCCCCGGTAGTAGTTTTTCTTGATCAAATTTTTTCAATTTAAAATTGAAAATAAATGTGAATCGAGCGTGTCAATGTTTCTGTTTTTTTGTCATTTCATTCGATTCTATTTCTACCCTTCTATGCTAAGGTCGAATTCATCCTCGCTAGAAATAATAATAAAAAACATTTTTTTTGGTCGTTTTGTAACTGCGAAAAAAATGATAACATCATCTATTTGCTATTTGGAATGTTTTTTTTTCTTCACTCTCTCTCCAAAAATAATAAGGATATCACATTCTATATCATTTTTTTTAGTTGAGAAAACTTCCCCAGAAAGAAAAAATTCATAAAAAAAATATCAAAAATTATTTTTCAATGGAATTTTTTCCTCATTGTCATTTGGCTCTATGTGTATCTTGGTGTGAAAATAGTGCAACAAAAAAAACCCGAAGACAATCATCATCATTTACACAGAATACTGAAAATTACATAGAAAAAAATGTTTGTAAAATGAATTAATTTTGAATTTTTTTTTCATATTCGTTGTTTGATTCTGTCATCCATAATACAAATACAAATACAGGGTGAAAAGAGAGGGAGAGAGAGAGAAATGTGGGTGAATNTGAATGATTGAAATCCTGTCATTTACAAGCGAAAAATAGCTTGGAAAATGAAAAACAAAAAACAATGTTGTTCTTCAATAATAATAATAATAATCTTGAATGATGTTCGGGAGAATTTAATTTTGAAAAACAACAAAAAACAAAAATTAATTTTTTGTTCTGATCATCTTTTGGGTCTCCAGAAGCAGAAAAACAAAACTGGCAAAATTCATTTTGGAAAATTTTTTTCCCCCGGTAGTAGTTTCTGGATCAAATTTTTTTCAATTTAAAAATGAAAATAAATGTGAATCGAGCGTGTCAATGTTTCTGTTTTTTTTGTCATTTCTTTTTCATTCGATTCTATTTCTACCCTTCTATGCTAAGGTCGAATTTATCCTCGCTCGAAATAGTAATAAAAAACATTTTTTTTTTTTGGTCGTTTTGTAACTGCGAAAAAAAATGATAACATCATCTATTTGCTATTTGGAATGTTTTTTTTTGTCTTCACTCTCTCAAAAATAATAAGGATATCACACATTCTATTTCTATTTTTTAGTTGAGAAAACTTTCCCAGGAAGAAAAAATTCATAAAAAAAATTTTCCTCATTGTCATTTCGCTCTATGTGTATCTTGGTGTGAAAATAGTGCAACAGAAACAAAAAAACCGAAGACAATCATCATCATCATTTACAGAGAATACTGAAAATTACATAGAAAAAAATGAATTAATTTTGAATTTTTTTTTTGTTTCATATTCGTTGTTTGATTCTGTCATCCATAATACAAATACAAATACAGGGTGAAAAAGGGAGAGAGTGAGAGAGAAATATGGGTGAATCGTGGAACATAATAATAATAATAATAATAATAATTCTGTCATCAAATGTTGATGATGATGAATCGATTTTTCATTTTTTTCATTTTTTTTTTATTTTCGTTTGTTTTGTTCAGAGGAAAAACAAAACAAAAAATGTTAATCAAAACAATCAAATTGCGTAAGTGTGAATGTTATGTTTGTTTGTTTGTTTTCCGTAGAGGAAGAGAGAGAGAGAGAGAGAGAGAGAGAGAGAGAGAGAGCGAGAGAGAG